CATTCTGGTCATGGCATCGATCATCTTAGTCATCTGTTGTTTGAGCTGTATGAACTCCATAAAGAGTACACGACTTCCTTCTTGTAGAGCTTCCATGACTCTTTTCCCTTGAGCTTCGTGAGTATGGAGTGTTTAGGAGACACCTTCGAGTGACAATGAATAGTTTTCTATTAAACTATTTGGATGTAAATGCATGAGAGGGAATTTCTAACAAAGATTCGATGGCTCATCCTTGCCATGAGGTGAGTTATCGGTGTTCCTCTTCATAATATTTTATGATGTCACAGAGGTCACACTGATTTCTTGTCTTTGATACAAATCCCCTTATGATCCTATATGATATGCATGTTCCTTTTGTTTTTGCCTACTCTTTATCATGTTTTTATTATCTAAAGGGGAATGATGTTTGGTAAAGATGAGATTTTTTTATTGATTTTTTTTTTGTTCAAAAAGAAAACTACCTATATGATGTTAATGGAATGCTGACCTAAGAATGTACAAAAGGGTATAAGATTTTTATTATTATTATTTTTTTTATATATTTTTTTTTATTATCTATTTGCTTATTTTAAAAACTCAATCCACTCTTATTAGAAGAAATAATACAAACAAATGCACATACACATGCTCAATCAACATACACCCACGAACGATCATATTCGAATCCTTGGTCTGTGGTCCCTGTTAAGAAAAGTGCGTTGTATAGGATAGTTCTAATCTCACCGGTCTTAAGGCTCCAAAGGTGCCCCCATTATAGGGACCCAGTATATCTCTGTCGCCATCACCTGGCAAACTCTAAGGTCTGTCGTAGTATTTCAGGCTAGAGTAACCGGTTATCACCTTGAGTGTGATTTCCGACAAGGCTCGCAGGCTCCAAGGCCAAACTTGGGCCGGTCGTACGTCAACCACTCCTTATGTTTAATACCCTCATGCCCCCGGGTGTAGGGGACTGTTGTGTGCTATGGTTTGTGTGCATTTCGTTAATTCAAACATATGTGCGGAATTTAAACAAGCATACAGATAATAAAGCAAACAAATAAATCATACAAAGTAAAGGGGAAAAATATTTAAATTATTATTTTTATTTTATTAACTTCATCAATTAAATGGGCCTGACCCTCTTTAAACGTCCCCAGTGGAGTCGCCATCTGTCGCAACCCAAAAATTTCCGATCTTGCGACTAATGGTTTAAACATCCTTTTAAAGATCTCATCAATTAAGGAATGCCCGGACACCAGACTAATCCTTAATCAATGGTTTTGAAAATAGGTTCTATGGAGTCGCCACCAATGTTTTACTCAAAACATTGGAAAAAGAAAAGATTTTTAAAAGATCCAATAATGGCCTTGATAACCAGAATTGGGTTCGGGGGTCGGTTACGTGTAAGGAAGGTATTAAGCACCCTTACAACGCCCTAAATCGGTACCCTATGATGAAGTTAATGCGATAAGAAATAATAAATTAAATATTATATCCCCTTTTATTGATGATTATTTACATGATTTAAAATTTAAATTAACAATTGACTCTAAAATATCTACATGATTGCTCTTATTATAAACAATATTTATCAAATGTAAGAAATAAAATAGAGAGAAGAAAATTGATTAAAATACCTCTTGAACGAGCTCTATTAATCTTCAAAGATGGAGATTTGGGTGCTTTTTGGCAACCCTTCACACTACAATGCCTCACAAAAATCTCAAGAAATACAAAAAGAGAGGGGAAGAGAGAAAAAGAGAGAAATTTCGAGCTATAGGAAGTCTGGACGAAATTTCGGAGTCCGGAGAAATGAGCCCCAGCTGTCTATTTGATAGACTTCGGGAAGGGGGTCCAGAACGGCACCGGAACGGCCGTTCTGGATATGGCCGTTGCATGTAAACTTCGTATACTGGAACGACCCGTTCTGAAATCGGAACGGCCCGTTCCAGTAGTGAGAATAACATGTGATTTCTTAGACCGGAACGGCCTTGGAACGGCCCGTTCCAGCCCCGTTACAGATTTAGGAACGGCCCGTTCCAGCCCCGTTCTAGTTAACCATTTGAGCCTTTTTTGAGGAGTTTGGAACGACCTGTTCCAATCTTGGAACGGCCCATTCCAATATTGGAACGACCCGTTTCAATTTCAGAACAGCCCGTTCCAAATTAGGGTTTTTGGCCTTTTGGGAGCCTCGGAACGGCCTGTTCTGGACCTTGGAACGGCCCGTTCCGGGCCAATAAAAATATTTAATTTGTGCTTTTGGGCCCTCTAAAGTGTTGGCATGCTTCGGGAGCTCCTTCCCTTCGTAACAGAGGTCCATGTCCTTGCTTGTATGCCCCCGGACGAAATTGGGTGTCTACACGGTGTATTTGTACTTAAGTTTCATAGCATCACGTCTAGAAGAGATGAAGCTATCCTTGTATCTCCTTTCAATTTTATATTTCTAAGGGTTGAGCCTGGAGAGGCTTGTTCAAAATAATAATTAATGTTGAGCCTGGAGAGATTTGTTGAAAGAATACTTAGTGTTTGAGCTTGGAGAGGCTTGGTTGAAAAGAATACTTGTTGTTGATCTTGGAGAGGCTTGTTGAAAGAATATTTAGATAGTTGCTTGAAGAGGCAAGTCAAAGACTACTTAAGTTTTAACCAGAAATGACTTGTTGAAAGAATACTATTGTATCTTGAAAAAGATAGTGGAACTCAATCTGGTTGGATTGAGAACTGAACATATTCTCTAGGTTTGAGATGAACCAGTATAAAAGATTTGTGCTCCGTTGTCTATTGTATTCTAGCACTTCGTCTGTTGCATTCCAACACTTCGTCTGTTGCATTCCAACACTTCGTCTCTTAAAGCTTTTACTACATTATTACATTTGAAAAGTGTGAGTTTTTGATATACAATATTCAACTCTATTCTAGTATGTATCTATTCTCCAACAATAGGTAATTCCCCACAGATAAGTTCGTATATACTTTCCCATGGATTCATCCATAGATAATTTCCCACTCAAAAGTCCACAAAAATGGTTGTTGGTAATATGTTATTTACAAATTCAAATAATCATTGGTAATGTTACCTATGAGTTGATTGTCTACGAATTTTTGTCCATTGAGAAGCCATCGGTAAATTTGAATTAGTTATGGAAATTTTACTTTACCTATTGCTTTTGTTTGTAGATAATTACGATTCTTCTTGTAGTGACCCTCGAAAGTATATCTTTTAGTGCAAAATATTTTTCTCCTACTCTAAATATCCTTTAAACGATCCAACTATTGAAAATGAAGAATAACGTCCTATGATCTCTCTGTCCAAAATTTAGTCTGATCCAATGACAAACAAAACTCTGGTTGCAATTAGAAAATTGTTGCCTAATGGTCGTGCAAATTGAACCATGATTTTCTCTCTTACTTCTCTTGTGTTTTGTTGTTATCTCTCAACAATGAATCACTCTCTCATTGTCAAGGTACTAGAATACCTGTTGATCATGAGAGTCAACTAGATTGCTAATCTATAAATAAAGAACATTAAACCCTAACCTTTGCATAGCTCACTGGTAAAAGTCATTTAATCCATTGTCAATTATTCCTCTCGTGAAATTTAAACAATTATCTATAATAATATAGCTCGGAAATATTCTTTTTATCAATAACTCTTGTTATCAATATAATATCAATTAATTAAATTAAACTCTTATAAATAAACACATAAAATAATATCTCTTCAAATAAAATAATTTTAAAATCTTTATTTTTTTTATCTAAAAATATTTTTATCTATACAACCTCTCAATTAATGAAAGTCATAATATAAAATCAAAATATATTAAAATAGATAAAATATATTTATCTCTAATAATTAATATAACAAATAATTTTACAAACCTTTCTATGATTAATAAAAACACTCATAATTATTTTAATTTTTTGACGTAATTATAAAATCTATTTAATTAATTAAAATTATTCTTTTAATAATTTAAAAAAATTTAAGATGCTATACTCTTAGTCCTTTCACCGTGATCAAATCAATTTATTTTAAAAAATCTTTTTTAAAAAAATATTTTAGTTAATAATTTTTTATTGAGGCCAGAAAAAGCGGCCAGAAAACATCCGGAACACACATATATATTAATATAAAAAAAAAATCTAATAATTTGCTTCCATATTACAAAAGATAAGAAAGCAAGAAAGCGCAGCTGTGACTTAAGGTGGAAAGAAAAATATTTGTTTACTTTCGGTGGTTCTTTTGTGGCTCATTCTTTGAGAAAATAAGAAATGGGCGTCGACCAGATCTCTGTGGAATCCTGCATATTTTATCGTGCGCGGTGAGCGCGTTATCCTAGTCAGAAGACAGAACAGACTCCTAAATAAAGAACGGAAAATGTACGGTTAACTAGTACAATAGTGTTTAAGTTTTAGCATCCAAAAATCCAAGAATTGGATCAATGAATTACCGTCCAAAATTTTCGTATAATTTATCAATGAGCTAATCAGTTATATATTATTAGGGTAAAGTTTTTTTACACTAAAAATTAATTATATTTTTTAATTATGTTATATTATTATTAAAAATAAATATATTTAAAGTAATATGGTATAATTAAAAGATTTGATTAATTGCTAGTATAAAAAATTAAGTGATTAATTCTTTATCAATTACCAATCTCATGTTGCCAACTTTTTGCGGATTCACGTGATAGCCAAGTGGTGAACCGAAAATATATAGTAATCTATGATTGTATATTATTATGTGATTATATAGTTTTTTAAAATTTATTTTTTTATAAACTCTTGGAGAGTCTTTTGCAGAAATAGAACCCAATGCCACCCAAAAAGGTATAGAGTAATATTTCATTTGGTAAATATTTCCTATAATAAATGATTTTGGAACAATAGTCTGATATTAAAATATTGGCCAACGAGCAGGGAGCAATTAAGGGTTGGTGAGTTTTGCATTTATCGACAAAATCAAAGGACAAATATGTAATCCAGAGAAGCAGAAAATGCCAAGAAATCAAGAACAATAGAAGGGAACTCTTCCTTTCATATTATGTTGTTAACATCACGTATTCACACAAAGCGAAACAAAACAGGCGCACACTTTATGCCCTTGGTTACCTTCACGGTTTCACCAATCCATTGTTTACAACACAAACAAATCTCTCTGAAAAGTACAAATTATGAGGATATCTTCTCCTTTGTTGTTACTTTCCTCCACTCTTGTTATATGACTAATTGAGCATGGAATGCATGATCCAGATCATGCAAGGGTAAAAAAAAAAAAATCAAAGTAAAAAACCCTAGTTCTAAATATAATGCTCATAGTGACAACATAAGCCCTAGAATTTAAGAGTGATCTCACTCCCAAAACTCTCTTCCCCTTCTTGATCTCTTAGTACTGCTAACCCTTTCTTCTCTCTACTCTCTCCTTTCCAGCTACTACTCTCCGACTTCCAATCCTCAATGCTCTCCGACCTGTCACCACCGCTCCGAACACCGGATTCCGGTGAGCTTTGTGTCTGCGGTGCTGTGTTGAACATGTGAAAGTGGTGGTGGATGGTTTGATCTTGTGACGGTGGTGGCAACGACAACGATGATACTGTATTGTAAAACTCTTGTGATACTGGGGTGGCTGCACAGTAGTGTGGAGGTGGCGCTTGTGGAGTTAGATGTGGACTATAAAATGTGGGCCCACCCGAATGTGCCGCGGATGCAACTGCGGCATATTCCGGTGGCACCCAAATTCCTCCTACAACTACAACTTGAGGCGTGGCTGCTCCGGGTTGTAGGCTTGGAATTGGTCTTCTAACGTGAAGCCTATATTTCTGTGAACAAATTTTAACATGCAACCATGATGAGAAAGTGCAAGGAAACAGACAAAAGGAACAACGAAAAGAAGAAAACAAAAACAAAAGCTGGTTTCCAAATGCATAATATGTGTTCTGCAGAGTGATACTATGCTGTCAGTGAAGTAATAATAAGGTTACCACTAACTACAAAGTGGGTCTTTCATTTCTGTCTGTATGTACAATCCAGAGGGAGAAGTACCTGGAGATGGCTTTTAACTTCATCATTGGTCAAACCCTCAACCTTCATCATCTCCCTAATCTGTTTCGGGGTGGCCACTGTAAAGTGACACAAAACAAAAAGAAAGAGAACGCTTATTAGTGATGCCAGTAATGATTATAATTCGATTGCAGTAATGATTAATATAATTTGATTCAACATTATGCATCTTATAAAAAAAAAAAAGGTAAGGATTATGAAAATGATTTTAAATATATTTGCATCTCGATTATATGTGATACTTTTGTTTTATACGAATAAGATTATTTTTTTTATTCGTATTGGTATATAATTTCTTTTTAACAATTCACGAAGACAATTTACGTGACTTAGTTTACTAGTATACATGTATTGTAATTTATTGGCACTGAGTTCGATTTTTATAAATAGAAAAACAATAATATTATGCATATTATTCAACCAACTTATAAGATTCATTCATCGATAATTATCTGAATGAGTTTATTTTCTAAATATAATTTTGGTGCTTAACAATATCTTTTCTTAAATAATTTTTTTATTTTTTATCTTTGAAATACATAAAAATCACATGCCTTCAAGTTTTCTGAAAGGATCAAAATGCACTGTTTTTCTTAACTTAAAGAAGAAAACAGATGATACTTAAAAAGAAAAAAAAAAGGCAAAAAAGTCATATTAAAATAGAGAAAAATTATATTTAATTGGTGATACCTTGAGATCCACCAAGCATTTGAAGAGCATTAACAAACCGTCGGTGCAAGTCCGGTGACCAACACCTTCTTGCTTTCCTATGAGTTTGGCCAGTAGTGTTAGTATTCGTTGTTTGTGCCTCAGATGCAACTGCATCACTTTTTCCCTGATCTTCACAACACCCTCCTGTGCCTGAATTTTCCCTTTTGGAACATTTCTCTTCCTCTTCACATTTCTTCTCCGTTTCCTTCTCAGAAGATGCAAGGGCCAACTCAGGAAGACCCTTTAAGCCTTGGCAAACGTTTCGTTCTTTTGAGAATGGTAAAAAGGCTCCTCCATTCCTATGTTTGTTGTCTAGGGCTAGCTTAGGGCTCACGCTAAAGCCAACATCAGCTCCTTCTGTTTGTGATGTAATTGTGGATTGTGGTTTGGTTCCTTCGCTTGCTTGGCTCCATAGTTGAGCTGATGTCATCCAATTCGCCTTGTCAGATATGTTTGAAGCCTTCTCATGAGTGCTCTCTTGAGAGTTTGGATGGTGCTTTATGGGTATGAATTCTTCAAGAACTGGCCTTGTGCCTTGGCCTGATCTGAAGGCTTGTAGTTGCTGCCTTGAAGCCTCCACAGCTACACAAAAAATACAAGGTTTAAAGAAATTAAGATTGGAACTTTGCATTCGAAAAGGATAAAATTTTATATTCGTGTTTGTGTATAGTACTGTAACCAATAATAATAGAAGAGAAATTACATATACTACTCTCCCAAATTTGATATTGTTATTGGGAAGCTCTTAATTTCTCCCTTCATTCATTTGTTGGTTCAATATCAAAACGCTTAGATTAAGAGTACCCTATCAATATTCTCTTGTAATAATAATAATAAAGCAGATATATTTCTCTCACTTTTATGTGAGAAAGAGGAAAAGCAAAAGAAGATTATACTAGAAAGAGAGCAGGATGAGGAAAAAAATAGAAGACCCGTTATAGAAAAGCAATTATTTGGAAGAACAGAAATAAAACCAAAAAATGAATATACCAAGTTTGATAAAGTATATAATATTTTCATCATGGGTATATTGATGAAACTTTAGTTTAGGGTTTGGGAAATTCTGTGTTTTAATTGGTTCATTGGAATTTGGGAACATCGTAACCTATGTTTGATATTATACTTATAGTTTGATTTGATTGAAAGTGTGTACCGTTGGTGAGGAGTTGCATGCAGAGAGGAAGCTCGCGCTTGAAGGCATCAATCTTGAGACGTTCTTCCTCTAAGCGAGAAAGGAACTCTTCGAGCTTGTAGGTTTGATCAGTTTGATCTGTAAATGATTGCAGCAGTGTGGAATAGCTATAGGGCTTGTAATCCATGCTTAGTTCTGCATGTGATGCCATCTTTTCACGTGTATATATAGTTAAGGATAGTGACTAACAATTAAGAACTATTTAGGGTGATATATATATATATATATGTTCATGACAAAACTGCAGGTATGTAGGAACAAACAAGAGGAAAAGAAGGTGTTTTGGCCTCTTCCTTTCTAGCTAGTATTGGTGAGGGAGAGTGAGAGAGACAGAGAGAGAGAGAAAAGGGTTGTGGTGTTGTTTGTGAACACAAGGAGGATCGTCTTCTTTTTAGGAGTGAGTTCAATGGAATAAAGCAGGGTTTAGGAGAGAGAGATAAAAGAAGAAAAGCATGGAATGGAATATGATAGAGGGATGTAACTTCCTTCAAAGAACCGATGCACAAAGTTAAAAAAAAAAAAAAGGATATAAAAAATGAGAGAGAGGTGCTGTGAGAGAAGGAATCAGAGAATCTGACATCAGAGAGTCTTGTGCTTAGAGCCTGGTTTTAGCAAAACTTTCGTGTTATTGCATCAATTCAAAATCACCAATATTATAGAAAAGATGATTCTTCTTGTTACTGTTATTTTATTCCACTTTATACTCCATTTTTTCTTTTGTTTTCGCTTTTTATTCATAATTAAGTTACAGCAAAGAGAAAGCTAAAAAGTTCGAAAATAGTAATGATCTAGGTAAGGAAAATTTTAACGTGCATGTAAACATTTTATTCCAAACTAATATTTACAATTTTCTTCCCACGCCTTCATTTGTCTTTCATTTTTAATTATTCTCTATGTTTAAGGTTAAATTAAAAATGTAGTCTCTGCATCATTTTTAGTTTTAGATATTATATGATTTTTTTTACATATTAGTTTCTACACACAAAAAAAAAAAAATTAACTTCAAAAATCGAGTCCTTCTCATTTGCCGACTTTTCAACAGTATTAATTAGATTTATAATATCTGTATCTTCACAAAATTTTCCTTTTGTTTCTTATACGAAACAGATCTACATTGGCTTTTGGTTCTGCATGAAAAAATATCTACATTTTAGAACCTAGCTATAACTATAAAAGAACATTTTTTTAGATTTACTTTCCGTAGGAAAAATACGCGAGTACCATTACGATGTGGACAAATGGTGGAGAGTGGAGACTAGTTTATAAACTTTTTTCATGTATGAATTAAAATGTAAAACATTTTATAGGAACTAAATAGAAAAAGAAAAAAGAAAAAAAAAAAGCGTCGTGTAGGAATTAAATTTTAATTTAACATTTAACATATTAATATCAGTTTTGTCAATTTTCGTATACTTCTTTTAAACTACATATACAGTCCTGTATTGTAGAAGAGACTCAGATTCTCATGCGACTTTTTATATCAAACTTCACTAACAGTGTTCTATCTTTCTTCCTTTTCGTTCTTTGATTCTTTTTCTTTTAATCTAGATTTTCTTTTACTCGGTTTTTTGGTTCAAATTAGTTTCTCTTTATGCAATGAGCAGAACAAAGGATAAGGATGCATACAACATCAATCACATAAAAGCGCATGTGTGTTTGTGAGTTATATAATTAATTTATATTTGTTTCAGATGCGTTTGGATAAGTAACCTATATATATTCGGTTTAATTTAAAGATACTTATTCTTGTTAATTTCCCGAGAAATTTATTTTAAAAAATAAGTAATTAGTTTTTTCTTCAAAATAAGATATTCCAAACATAACCTTAATTAAATATGTATTCATATGTTTTTATTAGTTAAGAACTTGTATCATAATTTAATCACTATAACATGTACTTGTTCCAAAAAAGTCTCTCAATCAAGGTTAATAAGGGGAATAAAAATTACTTTAAGTCCTACTTTCTAATATCAATGTTCTAACTTTAAATTCATTAATATTAATTAAATTTATTGCATTGTCATGGTCTCAATTGAGACTAAAGTATAAGATTAATCTTAGCCTTAGGTCTCAGTCTAACATTAATGCTTATTGTCATTTATAAAATTATTAAAATTACGCATTTGAGATATGTATCCACCATGGTTTTAAATTGTGGACCGCAACACGTGTTGCGGCCGCAATATTGCTGTTGCGGCCTTGTCCACAACGGCATCGGACCGCAATTGCGATGATACTGGAAATCACACATTTTTCTGCAACGTAACGGTGTTGCGTCCACAACACATCTGCAATGTACCGCAATACATCCGCAATACGATAAATTGATACTATAATTTTAAAATAAATTAAATTATTCATTAAAATAATAGAATATTTAAAAAAAAAGGAATTAAAATGTATAAATCCTTAAAAATAAAATATATATTGATAATTATAAATTTTTTATATTTAGTGAAAATAATTAATAATCTCACACCGCAACAGCCGCAATCCGCATCGCAATACCCGCAACTGCAGTAACTGCAACCGCGACCGCAACCGCGACCGCAACCGCAATTTAAAACCATGGTATCCACTATAACGCTAAATAAATCATTACAATTTTATTTTAAAAGGGTGTTTTATATTATTCTTTATTAAAATTTTAATTAATATTTTTTATTTGTTATCCAGACTAAACTAACTAGATTCAATAGTATATAGGAAAAAAAATTAAAGTTAGGATTTAAAAGTAACAAACAAGTTTTGCGAAAAATAAAGTAGACATAATTACATTTACATAGGCTTCAAATATACTGAAGCCAAAATTTGTATTAACATAATTTTGATATATTATAATGGCATTTTAGTTAAATAACACATAATCTTATTTTTAGTTAAAATATACTATTATTTAAATATTCCCTTTTTTACTAATTAACTAATGACGTAATACTGTTTTAATTCTAATTTAAATTTAAAAATGAAATAAAAAAATGTGTAATTAAAATTGTATTAGTTAAATCTATCATAAAATATCAAAATAATTTCTAATCTTAATCATGAAATATAATAATATGACAATTATTATTTCCAATAATACATCACCAAATAAAAAAAATATGGTTTACAATGATTTAGCAAATTAATTCATGTACTTAAGGAGCTACAAAGAATAATCGTCCATCATTCCTAGGGTACCCGATGTTGGTCATGTGTAGGGCAACGTTGTACTTGTGGGTGTCCTTACCAATGTATGCAATTGCTGTTGGAACAGTCTAAATGATTCTACCATGATTAATTATTAACAACCACTTTGAGCTGGGAGAGCATATACCATTTACATAATTTTCACCACCACATTGAACAAAGAGAAAGGAAAAAGAGGGAGAGGGAAAGCACATATATATATATATTCAAAATAGGTTTTAGTATCAATCCACCTTGCAACTTTCTTTGAGTCTAAAAGTTGCATAATTGTCCTGAATTTGATTGAATTGAGAGAGAACAAGAGGAATATCTAATTCTAAAAAATGAGACATTCATCAAATGAAATAAAATATTTGCATCCAAGCAAGGAATATCTTAGTTCCAATTCTGTGACTCTAAATTAAGGGAACACGACTCACGAAGCTTAAAGAAGGTAGAAAAAAAACAGTACCACCTGAAAAGAGTGATAAAGGAAGCTAACAGCGAAGAATCTTCTTCTGCTACTATCTTTAGTGAAGTGGGTATGAAGCTAAGAAGATTCCCTTTACAATGTAGACGAATTTTTGCTCCTTTGGTTAAGGAGCAGGTTCGGAAGCTCCATCGACTACAGTCTGGGCTAGCTGGGTTAGAATTTTTGAAAGATTGTATAATATAAATATAATGAAATTATTCAATGGCATTCAGCTAATAATTAACAAATTAAGTGGAACGTAGATTATTTATATCAATAAACCTTAGATTTTAATCCTTTAAATTTGGAGTATATATTTTATTTCCATAAATTTAAAATTTCTGTTTTTCATTCTTATAATTTTTAAAAAAAATATTATTTTGATCCTTCAAATTTAAAATTTATATTTTTAGTTTCCAACATATAAAAAAATTATTATTTTAATTTTTTATTTGTTACTATCAATTATAATATTAGTGACTAAAACAACATTTTTTTTTAAATTATAGAGACTAAATATTATAGCCATTACTTGTTTAAAATTTCTTCTACTTTAGCTGTTCCAATAATAAAGCATCCAATTTTTTATTTATATCATTTAATACATCTCATGATGTCTTATTTATATTTTTTAACTTAAGAGAATTTAAACTTGTTTGAATTTAACTTGATTGGCTACTTTTCTTCAAGAAAAAATTAGATTATTATATGAGTCTTTTAGACTCTTGATGACAATTCCTAGTGAAGAAGATGGATGATCTTCACTTTTGAATTGCACGACCACTTGAACTTCTCTTTGAGGATGGCTGGACAAAAAATCCAGGTAGAAAGAAGGTTTGATCCGAATGAATTGAAGAGAGGGAAGCACCAAAGCCAAAGTGAGTAAAGGATGACTCACAAAATAGCCTAATCCTAGAGAGAAGTCCTAGAACTAGCTACGGATGGGAGACTTTGAGAGAGAACTTGGCTGAAGCAAAATTCAAAAATTCTCATTTAGGTTCAAAGTGTGTACAAATGAGTGGGAGCATGCATATATAGGCCACGGACCCAAGGGAATTGACGCCACACATTGGTGCACATGTTGGCGCCAATTTTGAATTCAAATTTTGAATTTTGAATTCAAATTGCACGTCCAAACCATGTCACCCCCATGTGACCGTCCCCTTCTAGATGTTTAATTGCATTTAAGTTTAATTTGGAGTTCATTTGATTAGTCACATGTGTAGCCACCCTTAGCACAAAACATGTGACTCAAATGCAACTCTAGTTACTCTTAAATGTAATTAACTTCTTAATGTCCACTCCTAATATGTAATCCCCTTAAAACCCTACTCTATTAATGACCTAAATACAATGGCCAACCAAATACAATCAATAGGAAAAATTGCAAGAATTAAAATGAGCTCAATATTGGGTACCAAAAGCCCAAAGGCCCATGAAGCCCAAAACTAGGCCCAATAAGCCTAAGGCCCAAAATTCCTATTCTAGAGGTCCATAATACAAGACCAAACAATATGAAATCCTACACTACTCAAGATGCAATAAAAGGTGGTATTCCATGTAAAGCCCGTGTGAAGAGTATCTTGGGCCCAACAAGCTCATTGGGCCCACTAAGCTCTAAAGCAGTCAAATCTTCTAGTAATCTTCTGACCATAGTTCTAGTGGTTGGACCCTTGGTCCATGCTCTTCAATCATCCCCTCCCTCTTGAGAAGGATTCGTCCTCGAATCTAAAGACTCATCCTCATCATCACTAGCCCCTACAAAA